ATTCCAGATAACAATAATGAAAACAAGAATCGTGAAAATAAAATCTAGGTCCAACACAAATGAGAGTAGCCAAGAAGCGTGCTGGAGTAGCATCTGTCAGGATTAATTACAAAGCTACGTAATTACCAACCTATAAGCTTGTGTTTATGTGCTTTTCTCTCCGCTATTTGTCTCCACTCTGCAGTTGTCCTTATGTCTCCCTAGTGGGCTTCATACGTCGGGTTTTTTCTATACTCCATCTGTTTACATTTTACACATATCGTGTCAAGCAGAAGTCACACGACACTGAGCAAACGGCATCCAAAGAGCGCCATCTTGTCTTGACTGAAGGTGATTGGAGGGGTTCGCTGAGCAAAGAGGAAGGTCAGTTGAGTAGCAATGGGGCCAATGTCCTACACGCAGTGTTGCAGTTTTCAGACGATAAACTGTCAGCTAGCCGTTTAAGACATGGTCCTCTTTTAAAATATAGATATACTGTAAATACTCAGGGCTGAGATTAACCAGCATGCAGGCCACGACCACCTAGACGCTATCGTAAAAAAAGCTAACCATCATAAAACAGGGAAACCTGGGATACAGAAACCTTCAAAGTTTCCTCAAAGAGAAAATTCCGGATCTCATTCTTCCGTAGTGGCCATTCCTTCCTCACTGGGAACCCCCGCAGGTTCGGCAAGATCCTAGACACTGCACAGTTGGGAGCAAGCAATTGTCTCCCTTTACAGACACCACATGTGCAAGCCAGTAGGCAAGGAAACCAGGTGGATATAAATACATACCAGCTAACTGGGAATGGGCCAGTGGCCCCATAGCAAGACCGCATTATCAGTCTGAGGAACAAATCACAAACTATAGTATTAGCAAAAAAAATAGCTGGAGGGTGATCCACGGGAAGCAGTCAATAGGAGAGCGAGGTGGAAAAAAATGGCCAGCCATCTAAGTCACTAATCAGTCTCTCATGCAGAAATTTCCACAGTCGTCTAGTGTCTGAAGTCCAGATGAGACATTCCCATAGCTACCCCAAAAACTGGCAGCATTAGGGATGAAAGATGGGCTGATGTGTGAAAAGCTACAATTACACTTCTTGTGTGTAAATTGAATCTTGAATGGTGTCAACTGAGATCAATTGAATTACATTTTCACTTTCTATGTAGTGCCCAGTGCAGTTTCTCCAAGTCTGCTGGCAAAGTCAGCATGTAAAAGCTGGGCTCTGGATGGAGAGCGGCGTGCTGGGTGGGTGGGAAGCACTGTACCCTCACAGCTCCAGAGCTAAGTGTCTGATTCCTGATCCTGCTCCTCATGTAGACCAGGGGTGGCCAATTTTATCCGCAAACGGCCAGTGTGTATGCAGGTTAGAAGGTTAAAATAGGTTTTTACAGTCAGTCCTGTAATTAGTAATCTAATTAGGAAGTTGCAGTGAAAACCCGCAAACACAACAGCCCTTTCCGGATAACATTGGATTTAGATGTTACATACTCTCCCTGAGTTTACACAGAATTCCTCTCGATATTCCGGTTTCCTACCACAGACAAGCAATTAGATAAACTGGTGTCTCTAAATCGACCACACTGCGTATGTGCCCTGCAGTAGGCTGGCATCCCATCCGGGGGGTCCCTCGCCTTGCACACTGTGTATGTGCCCTGCAGTAGGCTGGCATCCCACCCCGGGGGTCCCTCGCCTTGCACACTGTGTATGTGCCCTGCAGTAGGCTGGCATCCCATCCAGGGGGTCCCTCGCCTTGCACACTTGAATTATAGATGACAGAAACTAATGCTATATTTCAGTAAAATTTTAGGGAAAAAATCAGTCTTTAACCAACCATAAAATTAGTGGATGGTCTCAGTCTCTGTAATAAAATTATTATTTGATTTCAGAATAAAAACATCTTTCTGCCTCTTTGGTGTTATTCAGTCCAGCAGTGAATTTTAAGCAAACAAGCAGTGGTTGAGGCCAAGAAGCTTTCAAAGCATGTGAGAAGCTTTCGAAGTATGTAATGGAAAAGTACAAAACAGGATGTGTACGAAAAGCGAACACGTTAAGTATCCTTGGAATAGACAAGTTAGATTTTACCACCTTTAGATAAAGCCAGCCTCTGAAAGCAGGCAGAGAGCAAAACCGAGGAAATTCATCGAAAGGCTATAATTCACCAGTGAGACTCGAAAAGGTGAGCAACAAAAATCCAAAACAGTTGGAGAACATTCAGAGTATTGACAGCTCCCTGTATTTAAAATTGCTTTGTCAAGGATTGAAGAAGTTTTGCAACAATTTTGCAGTGACGCACATGATTTAGAACTTTCTGTTCTAGATTAAAAGATACGATATTGGGTGAAGACCAAAGACATCACATGGGCAAATCAATAGCAAGATGCAAGATGTTTAGACAGATGGGTGGTGGAAGGGGAATAGTGTGTGGCCTGTAGCAGGGACCGGCAGAAAATATCCCCATGAGACAACAGGGAGTTTAATCTGCTAAGGAGTGCAGGCTACTCTGAAAGATGGTAGAAGCCATCATTTACATCTGTTTTTATCTACCAATTGGGATATTTTCTATTGTATTTTATCCAAAAGGTCACAGACCTAGAGAATCTAGTGTAGAACCGTAAGTTCAGCCTCTCTGGGGCTTCAGCCATCTGCTTGCCCTCAGGCTAACATGACGGGAGCCCCTACAGATGTGGAAGAGGCTATCAAAGACTTGAGCTGCAAATTCTGCATCAGAGAAACTTCAGAACAGTTTATTTCTGCATAAACAGCTCATCAATTCATGGTGACTGTGCGGTAACAAATTAAAAGTGTGGTACAGTTTTGGTGAAGAAAAACAAAGGTCTTGGGGAAAAAAGCGCTGGCCAAAATGACATCATGCAGAGGAATCATTCCAGTTGCTTTCAGAAGTTTTCAGTTAATATTCTACACAACTCCCCCCCCAACCTTTGCTCTATCTAATTGCCTTAGGACACTTTATAGATTACTTACAAAGCTGGAAACTCTACTTTCCAAAACTGGTGGGGGCAAATGGATTTTGCCCTGGGGTTGGTTGCATGCTCCACCACAAAACACAGAAGATTCACGACTCACACATGTTTGTTCATCTTTAAACTTTAGTTTGGAGATAAAAACATTGCATTCCACCCAATAATGCCTTTCCCTGACTCCCAGTAAATCCTTTCTTAGGGGAAGGGGGTTGAGACTCAGATAAAGCAATCAGAGTGGTCAATTTTGTGATATTCATTCTAGGACAGTGAATACCTGTGTGTGTGTGTGTGTGTGTGTGTGAGCGGGTTTACCTATCCTAATGGGGACACAATGTCCCCATAACGTGATAAATATCCGTTTTTTTTTCCCTTATGGGGACCGGTTTCCTTGTCCCCATAAGGGAAAACTCTATTTTATAAAAAACGGTGACTGCTATGAAAAAACTAAAAATGCAAAAACTCTTGTATTTTGTTAGGTTACTTACAGTATGGTTATGGTTAGGGCAGGGTAGGGGTTAAGGTTGTCATAGTTAGCGTTAGCATTTTTCCCATTGAAATGAATGAGCGGTCCCCATAAGGATATGTTAACCCTACATGTGTGAGTGAGTGTGTGTGTGTGTGTGTGCGTGTGTGCATGTGTGTATGTGAGTGTGTGTGAGCAGGTTTACCTATCCTTATGGGGACATAAAGTCCCCATAACGTGATAAATATCCGTTTTTTTTCCCTTATGGGGACCGATTTCCTGGTCCCCATAAGGGAGAAAACTATTTTATAAATCGGTCCCCATAAGGATATGTTTACCCTACATGTGTGTGTGTGTGTGTGTGTGTGTGTGTGATTGACACTGTCTGGCCATTGCGGGCAGAAACCACAGGGACATACTGTATACTGGACATAACAACAAGTACAAGATATTGGCGGATGATGTTTTTTTCCAGAAGCTCAAAAAACATTCCAGAGAAAATGCAAACAGAAGACAGTGTAAACTGCAGATTTCACATGTCAGTGCCATCTCTATTCCCACCAGTAAACTATCCAAAAACCATTTATAAACTCTCATCTCTCAGCTGGAATCAGATGAATTCCCGCAGTTTAAAGTGTGTTTATACTCCTTGCAGTCTGTTTGCGGCGTGATTAATGAAAAAGCGCGAGCTCGGAAACAGCTTTATAAACCCAGCTGATCCAGAATGTAGCCTCAGCTTCTACACTGACCACCATGCAGACGGCATAAGTGTTACGGGTAGTAAGTAAAATGGAACTAACTGTTTTTACAGCTCTGTGTTCTTTTCTGTCATGTCAAACCTCATTTCAATTGCATATCTAGGCACATTTAGTCACATATGTATTCTAATTGTTGTACAGTAAGTAAGTGATATAAACAATGAACCAGATCAGCCGCTCTGATCCTGGAGATCACGGACTGCAGAGTTACACAAGACCTGTAAACAGCCCTGCACTGGCATACTGGGCATTTTCACAGTGGGCCGATGGGTATGCTCCCCCTCCCAGGTTGGCAAAACTTAATCCCAGTCCACCCATGCCAGCCCGGCAGAAGTGATACTTCACTGACGGCAAGCACCTGTGAGGTAAGTCCAGCTTCCCTGGCCTTTTCAGCTGGCAGTCAGTAATTACTCACATTAGTAATGTGCAATATCTACAGAAGAGCCCAAAAACCCAAAAATGCAATAAAACACAACGATATACTTATCTACGAGGAATAAAACTAGGTCAAAGAGCTCCTTCAGGTTGTGCCAGGTAAGGCCTTTTACATTATAGTTAAATTCAAATTTGAACTAAACATAAATGATATTATTTTTTAAGCCCTTTTTTTCAGTTTCCTTTACTGCCGTGATGCCTTAAAGTCTGTCAGTTTCTTGGAGGACCAGACTTCCAACCCTATTAATCAAGCCTATGGAGACAGCTTTACAGGCCAGTGCGCAGGCTGTCCCACGTGGGGGACACGCCATAAAGAAAATGCCGCTCCGAACGCGAAGTAAGTGGACTAACAGACATGGAAAGGAAAGGGGTACTTACGGCAAAAACGGCCTGGCTTCCACTTGCGTTTAGATGCAAAATCACTACGATTTACTACACGAAATAAACTCACAAAATGTGCAAAACTGTATATTCAAACATAACAAACTTTTTCCATGTTAGAATGACAGAGGCAAAAAAAAAAAAAATGCTTCCGCGAGAAAAGCCTGTTCCATGTGTGTATGTTTGGGCTGTGCTGCCCTCTACAGGAGGACCCGGGAAACGCCATCCTCAGGACAATGGCAGCGCGGCCGTCTATGCGTCCGGTCTCAAAGACAGAACATAATCGGGGGCTGGGGAGAGGCTTTGCGCATTGGCGGAATCTCTCCGTCAAGATCATACCAATAAGTATGAAAGAAGGAACCCTACATCATTTTTTTTCTCGTAATTATCAGTCATGTCCATCTTCAAGGGTAAATATCTACGAAAATAAACACTAGTTTCGGTGTTACCAGACATGGAGAGCACGTTATTTTTGCTCACAATAAAAATGCTTTTTTTGTCCAAAATACTATCCTGTCATTGTACCGGGGCAGTTCAAAGATGATGGGCCTTTCGAGTTTCACGGATAGGGCTGCTAGAAGTTTCCGCAATTTCTCCTCACAAGGGACGACCCGAGGGATATTAGCTGCAGAAAGGTTGTGGCTTGTTGAGATTTTTGCTAATAGTCAGTTGGATGATGGCCATCTTTTCACACGGTTCATATAATTTAAGGACTAACACCCTTGGGATTCCAGTAGGCCTGTGTAGTGTAAATTTTCCAAACCTGATGAACTTTAGCTGTCAAATGTAGCATGAAATCATGAAACAGTTTGATGTTACCCTTGGAGTGTGTTGACAAACTCACAGTGACCGTACCTGGGGAGTACCTATTCTCAGCCTGGAGGAATATTTTAGCAATAGCTTTAGTGATGATTTGTGTGCAATTTGGAGAATAATTCAATGTGCATTAAAAAAATATCAAAAGTATAACAAAAATGCAATGCACCCTATCAAACAGTGTAAATAACCACCTGAAAGGTTTGTTATGTTAGTTGAATTACCTGTTTGATTTTTTAGAGCTATTTTATTTTTTTAATATTGTCTAAAATGTTCTCCTATTAGTTAACTGTGAAGTACAGAAGCCTTAAGCCAGGGGTGGCCAATCTTATCTGCAAAGGGCCGGTGTGTATGCAGGTTTTTGGGATAACCTGTAGGTCAGCTGTTCAAACCCAGGTGTGAGGACTCTTCAGCCAATCAGTCCTCTAATTGGTAATCTAATTAGGGAGTTGCAGCGAAAACCCGCATACACACCGGCCCTTTACGGATAAGATTGGCCACCCCTGCCTTAAGCCATCCTATGTAATGAGGTAGAAAGGGGAGCTTTTATTTTGATAAAGGTCAACGGCAGTTCTTTTATTTTTTCTGCGCATGCCTGTGGAATCGTCAGTAAGGCTACTGCGCTCATCAGAAACAGTTATTACATACTGTATATCCTACGAGTAATGTTTATCAATTAATGGACCGGTCATGAGGCACAAGCTCTTACGGTGGTTGTAGCTTATATGCTTATAAGTGTACTAAGTTGAAAGTAGAAAATAAAACTGTAAACTACACCAGCAGTCAAGATCATTGCCATCGCATATTACGGGGATCTGTACAATCCGAATGTATTATTATTATTACTACTACTACTACGGTTAATGATTCAGGGTTTTTTTTTTTTCATTTTTCAAGGGTTCCCATTTGTATCGGTTCGACAGCGTCCCTTAGCGTCGGTATTTTTAAGCGCATAAAACACTCGTGCCTGGAGCAAAAATAAATAAATAAATAAAAGTAAATAAACTATAAAGTGATTTTCCGCCTTGCAAGCGCAGGAGTATTTATATGAAATGATTTATGTGTATTAATGATTCTCATTACGAAGGAGAATACTTCAGATATCTCTCTTAGTTTATAATCCATAACAGTGTAGAAACCCCACTGAAGACCTTGTGCATGCGATGCAATTTTAATAATAGTAATAATAATAATAATAGTAATAATAATAATAATAATACTTAAACAAACAATTTTTGCGTTTATAAACAATATTCACTTGACAGTTGTAAAAATGCAAGGTTAATTCAAAAAGGTGAAATCAATTATGAATATATTCTTCGTGGTTATTCCAGTTTTCAAGGTTGAACGTTGTAGAAAATCAAAGGGAGTCTGGATAAATTCAGCTCACAGCCGTTCCTCCCAGTTATTTCGAAAGGCGCTGGGTTTACCTCGACAGGCAGGGCAGTGTTTTCGTAGACCTCCCAAGATAACAGCAGCTGGACACCTGGTAGCCAATCAGCTGAGCGAGCTAAAACAGATCGTTTGTCTTTATCACTTTCTTTCTTGCTCTCTGTTTTTTATGTTTTATGTGAACAATGTGTAATTGTATTACTGTCTCCCACTGTACGTCTGTTCTAAGCTGCCACTGTATTTTTGTTACTATGTTTCTTTATTTCATTCTTTAATTTCTGTTACTGTGTTCTGCGTTATATCTTCTGAGCCCTTGGCACGCTCTGTTAGAACATCTGTTGCTTTCAGTACTATGACCGCCTCTATTTTTCATTAATGCTATATAATAAAACCAATATGTTCTCCCTTTGATTTGTAAAAACACCTGTGTATGTGTCTTAAGGCGATTTATAATTTCCAAATGTCTGTTGAGAGGTGACTGTCAAGCAAATTGTGGTTTTCAGATGCAGATCCTGAAAAAAAAAACTTCTACAGATATTCCTTTAATCTATGCTGCTTTTTGATCCAACAAAATACCAAATCATAAACAATAAAGCATATCTATTGGAAGAAATTCTTAACAATGCATTTCTTAAATTTCCATGTATATCATGTGCCTTCCTATTTTAAACATTGCTGTCCAAAAACACTGAGCATAAAACTCACCGATTTATGGTCGTCTGGGGCAAAACAAATAAACTTCTCCGCTGATCTCATCGCAAAGAGTTCAGGGTCCAACTGCTGACATTGTTTCCCCATTATTGAGATATATGGTCATCATCTCAAGTCAGCCTTATTTCATGAAGCTTATTCCTTTGTTGTGATCATGTTCGTGCTTCAAAACGCCTATCTGCTTGAAACCAGTCTGGCTGGAGACATCGGAGTTCACCGTATGGCCGACATATGAAAGAGATCAATATCATAATGCAAGAAGATACTGCATGAATTCTCATACTGTGGTTTAATTTCATTACACAACAGAATGCAATTCTCAGACTGGGTATTACATTAATGAGAAATAATGCCATTTAGAACAACTGTAAACACATGGGGCGATTATGTGGGGACTGTGATTTAACTCCATTTTAAATCAAGTTGAACTAAATGGCTTAACCGTCGGCTGTGTAATAATGTTAACCTGATTTCTCTGCCAAAAAAAATGCAAGAATTTAGCTAAACCAGTGCTAAATGGCTGATAAACTAATTTGAAGTTCCTGAAACCTGCCCAAAATAAAGCAACTCTGAATTTCGTCAATTTATAAATGTCTTATTTGTGCTGTGAGAAACCCAAATGCATTTAGTTGACCTTTTTTGATCTGGGTTAAACTGTAATGAGAGGACAATTTCGGCCAACCAAAATGTTGACAACTCATAAGTTATGTGTCCTTCTTCTTCATCTTTTCTTTCCATTATTATTATTATTATTATTATTATTATTATTATTATTATTATTGTTGTTGTTGTTGTTGTTGTTGTTAGTTTTGTGGTGAATGATACTTTGCCAAGTATATCATTTGTTTGTTTTTTCCGACATCGTTTTTGATAGTATATACAGCCTGTTGGGTATGAGGGCCCTGAAGAAAAAAACTGAACTTGTCTGTTAGTTCTTCATTCCTATCAGGATACATAACAAATCATGGTTCATCACAAGGGGCATAGATTTGGGTATGGAAGGTAGGAACAGGTCCCAATATTGTGGGAGTGCCATGTGTTTAGGGGGCTGGGGCGGTTGGGGTTGATTTGATCCCGACCAAACGACACCTAACCTATGCCCTTGGCTTCTCTTCACGATCAGAATTCTGTCTCATATTTTTTCCTTCACGGACAATGTTGCTGTGTTTTTAAGTCATATGACTTTTTTCGCAATTTAATGCAGCTGGAGTTTTTGAAAATAGCACCACTTTCTGCGACAGGTCCATGGGTTAGACGGGGGTTGAGTGCACATATAAAACAAACAAATCTTAGGAAAATATCTGTTTCTATTAAAATATCTCGAATTAATTCATCTTAAATCATATTCACGCAATTAACAGCTAGGACCGCAAAACCTGCTCTTTCAGTTGCTTTAAACACAATAACTTGAATTTAATGCTGCATGTATAAGTTACTGTGCATTTCCCAGTCACAAAAAAATATTATCAAATATGTCGTTTTAAAAACGCGAAATTGAAGTATACGGTTTGTCCCTTTTACCATGCCATAGTCGAGTGGGTGGAACCTGAAGTTTAGTGATGTTGTGGTGAATGGTTCCGTGTGTATGCTGAGCTCGTCATATGAAACAACCTGGCGATCGTATCGCCTTATTTAGGGGACACCGGATTTTTGTATTACTTTGGGATTAAATATCCTCAGTAAGGTAAGGAAATATGGTATCTGTCGATTTTGTTGGCGTGGTAGTGGGTTAGACAGCATTGCACAGCCAGTCACATGATTCCTAGGTTACTTTCAGTTGTACTTGTTCATGTCATTGATCTAATTAGCAAGTAATGACAACTGACATATAAAAATTTAATCTTTCTCAAATTACTAAATAAGTTTAAATAACAATTAGCAGCAGATGATGTCGTTAAAAGGGGGTATTTCAGCTTTGCAGGTAGATTTTTAAATAGGTCTTGTTACTGCTCGCTATCATTAGATGATTAGACGCTCTTTATATTATATTTAAATTGTATTGGGCAGTTAACGATCACACTAGCTAAATCGACTGGATGGCAAAATAACTAGTTGTTCTCGCTGTGTCTATCATTAGATCAGACATCGAGAAAAATGTTGACAGCTAAATAAAACGCCCCAAATAAACTTATTCTAAAACGGCACGTCTAAAAAATCGCACTTTTCAATATTATTCGTGTTTTCCCTTTTTTCTAGATAAATTCTTGATTGAAAGTTTGCTTACTCGGGAAGCTGGGTGTGCATTCCCAGGAAAACTTAATAGGATCAGGACGTTGTAGACAAACCGGCAGTAGGTGGCAGTGTGGATACCTGCTCTATTTGCAACGACTTCGGTATTAAAGGGCTCGATCAGGTGTTTTCAATGTCGGTATTACAATCCGATTCGAGCCAAAAATGATATTAGTTATATGATCGCGCATTAGTGATAGGGTATCCCCTGTTGTAGTGTGTTTTCATATGGTCTCTGGTTTAAGAAATTCTGAAAAACCCTGGTCTAGTTAAAATTAGATCTTACACTTTCTGCTAAATAAATGCTGCGTCTTCTGTGTCATACCAATCTGCTTCTTCTTAGGGATGGAGAAAGCAAAACAGGAGGCGTTTGACAATGCAAGACTTCAGGTCATTAAGGATGGCTACGAAAGAGCCTTCGAGTGTATTAACAGAGGCCTGTCGGAGGACGAGAGAGGCCGGAATGAACGGGCGCTGGATATGTACCGGCAGGGCAGGCAGCATCTGCTCCGGGCCATTAGCGTGCCCTCCCAGGGAGAGGAATGCGTGGGTCCTGCTTGGGACTCGGCCCGGCAGATGCAGGGCAAGATGCAGGAGACCCTGAATAACATCACCACACGCCTAGCGGTGCTGGAGACCAGCGCGGACTCGGGGACGGTCGCAGCCGACGGGGCGCTTAGCGGAGGCGCTACGCAACAGCTGTACCCACGGCTGCCCTCGAAGGAGAAACCGGGAAGACCTCCTTCACCCAATGTTTGCTTCTCCAGTGACCAGCCAGCTGGGGCGGTGGGCGGGGTAGGAGGTCACGGGCTCCCGGGGGAGCGGCCCCCAGCCTATTCCCCCCAGGCAGCGGATGGACACCTCTCCATTTCCTACGGAACTGACTCCGGCGAGTTCTCCCTGGTTGGAGACGAGTTCTACACGCAGGCTTCCAGGATGGCGTCTGCACCTCAGAACCTAGGCGAAGATGGAGAGGAGCTCTTATTTTTGCCTCGGGGGGTGCAGATTTTTTTTGTCTCCCCTGACGGTCAGGTCAGCGCACCTTCGTATCCGGGCTACCTGCGGATCGTCAAGTTCAGTGAGGAGCGCTCGGAGAGGAGCCCGAATCGGCCTCCTGCCTTCCTGCAGGTAAGAGGTCGGGATGCTGCGTGCTTCATGGCCGCTGTCAAACGAGCAACCGGCGTCTCTCAGTCAGCACATGTAACTTTCAGTCCAGACCTGCACCATGTGCGACGTTGCCATGTTAATAATCACTTGTTATGCACCTACGTGTTTTTCGTATTTTCAAAAGCAACCGTATTCCGCTATTTTGAAATCTGGGCGATGAAATTTTCCAATAAACCCCCCCCCCCGAAGTTCTGAAATACCACGGTATCCCGTATTACTGTAAAACCACCAAAGCCTGTTTGAGACCACCATTAAGTTTCACCGAAGCACTTTTATTCTGTCATAGGAAAATTTACCAAGCTTTGAAATTTTCCTTTTCAGGATTATACAAATTTTTATGATATACTACATGAAGTTTAGGGCCACTCCTTTTTCATGAGCTGTGCATTGCTATCCCAGCTAATCGAAATCATTTCATAGGCAGTGTGGCACATTTTGTGAGAATATTAACAAAGATGAGTGAGGAGGAGGAAAGTGAACAACATCTGGCCTCTGAAAGACATTCGCCTTCTGTGCTGTGGAAATATTCTGCATTCCATACAGAGGATAGTGAGCAAAAGCAAGTGATTCGTCGGCACAGATCAGGCCAACGGCACTCATTAGATAGACTGTTGATAGCTAAAATGGAACTTACTATCTAATTCCAGGCTGATGCGCATTTTTTACTTACTAGTGATGATCCACTTGTCAGTCCTACATATAACACTGTTGTAACTGTTAAACACGTTTTATTGTATTGTCCTCCTTTAAACTCCCTTAGGAGTTACCATTTTTCTGACTCATTAAAAGAGGCTTTTTAGTAAAGTCAGTCCAGAGGCTTTTTCGATCTCTTATCAAAAGCTAATCTCAGGAATCTTATTTAGATTAACTGTTTGTTGCACGTTAGTGCGTTAGTTATTGATGATGTCTTTAGCTTTTTGATTCTTCAAATACCCGTTTACTCTAACGATAAATATAGCCCTAGTTGCTGAGTAAATTGTAAACTTTTTTTTTGTGTAAATATTGCAACATTTATCACAAAATTGTTAAATTTCTCCAGTATTGTGCAGCCCTTGTTGTGATGAAATGTTTGTTACTTGAACTCTCGTGTTGTTCAAGCTCTTCCTCAGTCAAGCCGCCTGATGCTAGTGATATCATCCTGGGAAAGTCTGAATATTTAGCCCGTTATGTGTTTTGGAATCAGTCAGTGACATTTTAAGGTATTATAGGATGTCCTAACATCTATATTTAGAACTGACTCTTTGGGTAATGTAGAGCTATTTAGGGTAACTATCAGTTAGTTTTATATGTTCTTGTCATAAATTCAGATCTCAGAAGTAGTAGCAGAAATAGACTAAAAGCCTAGGCCTTGTTCTTGTACAAAAACTTATCTGGGTGGTGATTTATTTTTTTTGAACGCTGCTGCAAAGCATTGACAGATGACAGCCAGTGGTAATGCTGCCATGGCCTCTTACCACACATGTGTGACATCACCCCAGTAGATAAGGACACCTGTTTCAGTTGAACGTGTGCAGCAGGTGACGCGGCCAGTATACAGAGCGTAATCCATGATGACACTGCTGTGCTGTGGGTTGTCGGCTTGGCTCCTGCCACACTTACCGCTAAAAATAACTAACAAATGGTGATGTTTCCTTTATTCCTTTATTTGCTCTCAGAGCTGAAGTTGTTCTGTATCCCAGTAACTTTTGCCCCATCTCCTGATAGTCTCCTGACCTGGAGCCAAGCCAGGAGGAGCAATATTGGGGAAAGGGATGGATGGAAGTTATGTCTTCATGAAAAGACATTCGGGGAAAATACATAATGTGAAAAATATGTGGGTGAAACAGCCATGAAACATTCTGTGGCTGACGAGCATTTGTTTGCCGTTCCACAGGTGTGTGACTGGCTGTACCCGCTGATGTCCAGAGACTCTCCTGTTCTTCTGTGTAACACTGGGGTCTACATGTTCCCAGACATGATGGCCTCAGTGCCGGGTTCCTACGTGGGTGTTGTTCTATCTTCCGAGCTGCCTTTGTCAAGCAGGGAGCTGTTTCAGGACCTCCTCTCACAGCTTACTGACCTGAAGGTCCAGGTGAGTTCCACCTGCTCTCCCTGTTGCACCACCTCATCACCTGATACAACCACAGATGCATGACTGGAGCATCAACAGATGTAAACCCCTCCCAGTCACCATTACTCATGTGCTGCTGTCCGCTATGATGAATTTACGGCCTGCCCCAACACTCACTGTGTGAATTAATTAGTTTATTAACTTATTTGTACTGCCACAGTACTCAGTTTGTGGAAAGGAAGCATGATTTAAATCACTAGTGACCACTTGTGTGTGTCTTTTCAGATTTCAGGTGTATTTGAGACATTAACAGATGTTATTAAGGTACTAACCAGTATGGCACCATTGAATGTCAAGCATATTTTTTTAATAGTTGAGCCAAAGATTTTGACCTTTTCTAGAATGTTTCGTGACTTTTAACCCAGTTCTGTTCCTTGTAATGTCCTCTTACAACACTTAGTTCTACTTGATGGAAAATGCTGGGGACTATGGCAGAGTGGGAGGGGTAGTGAGTTAGATTTAAGGGGTGTGGTGGGCAAAAAAAGAAAAATAAATAAATAAATTTAAGGGGTGTACTTTTTGAATTCAAAGTAATTCACATGTTCCATAGAAATAATGAGATAAGACTGAACAGTTCTGTTAATCATTGTTACAGGCAAGGATCAGATCAGAAAACCGATTACATACCTTCAGTATAATATAACTTTTGAACAGCCTCAACACCAGTGGCATTTCTAATATGATCTGCCCAGTTGTTATAGTTTAATGTCCAGGATCAGGAAAATGAATTGAAATGGAAATAGGCTGTTTGCCTTTGCCTGTTCGGGGAGTTCCCCAAGCAGGCAGCTGACTTTCTCTGAAACCTCCTGGTGCTTGATGATTCACATGGTGCATAGAGCACTTGCCTTTGCTTCCTACCGCATGCCCCTGCACGACCTCGTAGGCGACCCTTTCCTGAAGCCTCACAGGCACTAATAGTCCAAAAGCTTGTAGCCTGTCCCATTTCCTGCTGCTCTTTCATAGATGTGGCAGAACTGCCAGCTTCAGCATGTCTAGGGAATGAGACATAGTAGAAGGCATGGAGAGATAATCAGATATAATGCTCTTACCCGAACACTGCAGATCTACTTGTTTCAGCTGTGGACTATGGGCCTAAGGTTTATCTGGTTGTGTAATTAAACAGTCCAAGGGTTACAGTAGCATTACCTCCATTGCAATGTCAGACCTGCAGGCTTCTGATAGGGTGAAAAAAACACCACACAATCAGAAAAACATTACAAAGGTCAGGTCCACATCCCAAACCAGGACATCTGAGAGGGAGGTCTCTATGGCAGCTGACAAAGAGCAACTGACCGGCTTTGTTTGTCCCTCGTGATGTGCACCAAAGGATACATTTGTGGGGAATGCCTTATTGTTATGAGGACCACAAACGGGACATTGTAGAGTGTGTCTGGAGCAGCAGTGAGAAGCTCATTGTAGCTTTGTTCACAGGACAAGATCCAGAGATGGATGCAAAGTTTTGACTCATCAAATACTTATACATAATACTCTGTACTGCTACGTGTTTTCTGATCATATATATCATATAGTTATTGATAGTTCCGTCTAAAGACAACAGACTTGCCGTCCTCCTCTTCAGAACATTGTCATGAAGTCAATGGCTGCTTCATTGCTGAAGCAGGACATCTCTTTGTGGAAGTATCTACTAAAACATCCGCAGGAGTCACTGACTGACCAATTAGTTGATTGACCATTGCTCATCTTGAGCCACCAAATTGCCACACTCATTCCGCCCACGTAAAACCACAGGTTTCAACCCAATAATGACATTGAAGCTGCTTTCGATGGCTTCGAGACACATCCTACACATGAATTATGTTGACTTTCACTGTTGCGATCTCCAGTAGTCTTCGTGTTGACATGGTGTTCTGCTTGTAAATCTGATCGATAGGGAATTGTCATGGGTGCTGAGAAATGTGTATTGTGCATCAAAGGCCCCTGGTGAGCCAGGAGATACCATGAACCTCAGCCAAAAGGTCCCCTTCGCCCCCCCAATCCCAGTAGAGGGGCCTGCGGAGGAGGACAAGTCAATTCCAGAATGGAGCGAGAAGGTGGCCCATGGAATCCTCACCGGTAAGTCTGAGGGACAGAATGCAGTATCCAGTAGCCAAGCCAAATGATCAGTAATTTTAGCCTTGATTAGGAAAGGAACTTACTTTTAGGACTTACTTTGAATCTATGCTTACATGTTTGCTCTTTTATTTTGTGGTTTTTGGATATATATGATTTGTACTACATTCTTTCCTTGACGTTTCCCTTCGATATTTCATTGGTGCAGGTGCTTCATGGCTGAGCTGGGGATTGGTCAAAGGAGCAGAATACACCGGCAAAGCCATCCACAAGGGGGCGTCCAAACTGAGGGAACACATAACACCAGAGGACAAACCTGCGGCAGTCAGCCCCACAGTCTCCAAAGGGCTGCATGTTGCGAAGCAGGCCACTGGGGGCGCTGTCAAAGTCAGTCAGTTTCTAGGTGAGAGAGGAGGTGATTTCCTATTCCAGATTGATTGCTGTTGGCCTAGTCGTGTCTCAAGTAAAAACATGACTATATACTTTTTATTAAATGATAAAGGGTTGTTTTCCTAATGAAAGAATACATGGGGAGATGGAATATTGGCAAGAAATACATACTCAGTCATAAGGTTTGACAGATTATTCATATTAGTTGATTTCTTATCATTAGTACTGAGGCTTGGCAGCCATCTTTGAAATGAGGAAGAATGCCAGTGTAGAGCAGCATTCTTCCACTTCTGCCCTGACTCTGAGGCACTGTTGCTGCAGTGGACGGTGTTTGCACGGTGGCCGGCTGTGTGGGCCGAGAGCTGGCGCCGCATGTGAAGAAGCACGGCCTCAAGCTGATCCCAGAGTCGATGAAAAAGGACAAGGACGGGAAGTCCACCGTCGACGGGGCCTTGGTGGTGGCCGCTAGTGGCGTGCAGGGTGAGGCCGCCTTGATCCAGCCGCCGAGATCCAGCCGCCAACACTGCGCTCGTCTGGCCGCTGTGCTGGAGCTCAGGACGGCGCTCACAGCTGTCTTTCTGCATTGTGGTTGCCTTCTTCCTCACCATCCTCACTATGAAGTATTCCTCTCATGAGAAGAAAGAATAATAAAGAACGTGATTAGAGGGGGGAGAGTTCAAGCCCAGAAAGTACAAATCCAGACCAAGATTTTGTTTGTCACACAGTTGAGGGTAAAGAGTCACGGAGTACTCAGTTGCTTGGTTGAAGCAAACTTTTGGTGTAGATTTTTACTTTTTGCACCTGAATTATCTACCTCTGAGTATGATTAACAGCTTTACTTAGATTTATTTTCGTGTTCTGTTCTCCAGGCAGTTTGGTAGACCTACATTAAGCTGAAATTTTGGATAGATGTTGGGCTAATGTTGGTGTTCATGATGGTTCTTTTCTCTCTCACCATTACCTGCAGGTTTTCTGGTCTTTCCATGAAGACCTGAAACACTAAGCTTATAGCCACTGCAATAATTTAACTTGTGTTTCAAGTTATAAGGGGCTCTGTAATATGGAGAATAGCCACCTTGTTCAGTCTGAGGGTTTGTGCTTCACTGCAGACCACCCCTGACCTAAGATCCTTTCAGGTTTCGCCACCATGTGGAATGGTTTAGAAGAGGCTGCCAAGAACATCGGCAAGAGTGTAGCGTCTGAGACGGTCACCACTGTGAAGTACAAGTAAGCCCTCCGCTTGTGTCCCGTCCCCTGTGAGTCCCGTGTGTTGCTGTGCAGTCCATCCTCTCACTTTGCTCCCATGCTTTCTTGGACTGAGTTTTGCAGAATTTCAGTGTCTTGATTTGACTGGAATTGCAGAATTTTGCAAGAGGGGGGGAAAAAACCAAGCACTTACCTCTCATGTTCCCTTCCCTCCCCTTATTTTGCAGATATAGGGGTCTTCAAAAGATCTTAGACTCTCCCGGCGACGCTAAGATAAAACCAAATTAGGACCTGTTCGTAGAAATGACTGCGGGCATGCCGGTTTCTCACTAGTGCATTTTGATGATGGGAGATTCTGTGACCAGCTGTGTGCAGCAGAACAGCTGAGGAATGGGACCAGCTGTACTGCCACGCCACACCGGGCTTTGCAGACTCTGAATGCTAATCATGTTAAAACCCTGAGTCTAACAGGATCTAATGGCTGCATAACTTTCCCTGTCTGCACCTGTAGGTGTTTTCACCAGTAATTCTCTGTGATCATTAAAGTCTAACATTTTTCATTTGGTCATTATTGAAATAATCAATGATCTATATGCAATGACCAGAATACACAGAAATAAACGCAGGCAGTTTAATACCTTTAAATTTGTTAGTTTTTAAGTCACTAAATCTAATAATATCCACTTATTAACATGGGTGTTATCCTTGGATTTTTAAGGAGGTTGATAATACTGATCAGTTTTGCGTAAAACTCATAATAATGGGCTCTTTTGCATTTAAATTTCAGAAGTTAATCTTTGTAAACCCTACCCTAATCTGCTGGATGCTTGGTGTGGGCTCCTCGTGACTGCATGCTGCCTCTGTGTCTCTCTCTGTGCCGTGTGGCGGTCCCTCTACCTGTCCTTTGGCCCTCTCCTCCTCACCCCCTCTTGCTTGTTTGTGGTCAAGGTATGGGCCGGAGGCGGGGCATGCTACGGACAACGCGGTCAACTCTGCCATTAACGTGGGCGTCACGGCCTTCAACGTTGACAACCTGGGCATCAAGGCCATGGTGAAAAAAACGGGCAAGCAGACAGCGCAGGCCATCCTGGAGGACTACAAAGTCGAGGAAAAACCTGACCCAGACTTGGAGAAGAAGAAATGAATAGCCTTAATTATTTTTTAACTTAATATACTTACCCTTTCTTAGAGCCTTAATATATACCTATATTCTTAAAAAGATTTGAAAGCGTTATATTTTATTAATATCAGATTCATTACCTGAGTTTGTGTCTTAGAATTTTATATATCTGCTAAGCACTTTAATACTCGGTTTCCTATATGAAGAATTTGGTTGAAGTTTGAATAAATTGTAGGCCTTAGATTTACAGATGCTTTATTTTTGACTCTACCTTTGAGGTGGTGGGACTACTTCAAGGACAAAGCCTCGGGAGATTGTGTGTTTCTGCCCATTTGTCTCTGGTTTGACAGCTACTGTGCAGAATTGTGCATTTGTTGACAACAAGTGTGTGCATAACCGCATTTGTTTTTGTGGCGTTTAGTTTCTTCCTGCATTTATAAGATCAAACAACATCTGTCAGTACTGGTGTTTAAATGAACAATGGATGAAAAGATGCATAAAAATAGTATTAAAGGTGTTTTTAAGATTCTTTGTAGGAGGAGACTTGGGGGGGCTCCCATACTGTACAGAACTGAGGTGTTGTTCATAACTGTTTGTGTGAAGTATTTGCTTTTGTGTTCCACTCATATGACAATGTGTAGAAATGTTTGTGTATGTATCTCATTCTAATTTGCCTACAGAATTATATGTGCTATTCATACTAGACAGACCTTAGCACAAAGAATAATTTCCTGTGGGAAAGACAAATGTGCAATGTGTTTTTGAGCAGGGGTATTGCAATAGTTATTTTATTTTACAATTTTTTGTGAATCTTGATGTGTGAGTTGAAATGTCAGTAGTACATTTGTGAATATGAATCCCAGTTTCAGCCTGGTTGTTTAAGTTCTCCACAGGGACTGCTCTGAGATACTAACCACAATATAAGGCATAAAAAAAATCCATTTTCCAAGCAAAGGCATAAAGGTGTAATGTTCTGTGATAGAATTTAACAATGTGTTTACATGGCTGCCTCAAAGACTTAATGAGAAAGACCAGGAAAATGGTATGTTTAATGAAGCAATGTCCACTATTTAATACTAAACTTGCAACTCTGCCTATTTTTGTTAGAACACCTCATGCATAGGTAAAGGAATGTATTAAAGATTGTAAAACTGGAAAATGGTTATTGACTCCTCATTCCTGTTCTCTATATGTCAAATAATAATAGGACTTTACTAAAGTGTCATGATGAATTGCACTGACAGAAAGATTAACTTGGATTTTTAACTGTCCTGTTCTAGGAATTGTTCTGTTTGAAATTTGTGGGCGGAAAGTGTTGACTTTAAGTGGACAGTTACGAATTTCTGAATTTCAGCCAAGTTACTTTACCTAACTAGACAATTAGCTGAACAACCTTCGCAAGCTGACTTGGAAAAGGTGTCCAAATCAGCATTATCGACAGTTCATTTTCTCGCCACTGGATGGCCACAAAATCCAGGAAAAAGCAACACCTGGGACCAACAGGCTGAAGGACAATTGCAGACTAATGTGATGCTCGCCAACGATTCGTTCGCAGGGAACGAGTCCTTACAGAAACGACACACTCTTGTTCACTTACCTTAAAAGATTTTTACTCGTTATTCTGCTTGTCCCCAGAAATATGACATGAATGCTGCTTCCCTCCTCCATTATGGCCAATGCGAGCCAGTGAGACATGTATGGGCGTTCCAAGAGCGAGCATATAATTGGCTGGAAACGAAATCTCGGATTCTACCTATATACCTACAGTAAACAAACGAGAGTGCAGTGTTTACCCCCCGCAGAACCCACTCACTGACCAACACAGTCCCTCCTTCGGGTCTCTCATTTTCATTCTGAACGAGTTGGTGAATGGGTGGGTGAACATAACACTCAGATGCCCCTGTTGGTCATGACTGAACGAGAGAGCCGTAACCCGGTGGTGACTGAAATACACCGTCTACTGGTGTAGTATATAGCTAACATATGCAGTGACTTCCCGGAAGCTGCAAATTGATTTTAGAGATGCAACATTTCCATGACAAAAGACGATTTAAACTAATGTTCCTTAGCTAGTTCCTTAGTTTTGGCTTGTTAGCTGACTATGTGATGAGCTGTCAGGTTTGCGTTTTTGACAAACATGAGTAGCTAAAGTACTGTGTTGCCAAGACTTAGACTATAATTCAGTAACAAATATTTTTCTCACATGACTGTGGTATTTAGCTTGCTCCTTACCACTGTTTAGCCTAAATAATGGGCTATTCAGATATATCGGAGCACAAGTGTTTCAGATCTATTTTATGCAAACAATAAGTGCCACTGAACAGGCTAGCGGGTATACGAATTTTAGGTGAACTCGATTAAAAGAACTGCATCTAAAAGTAGTGAATTTGTCCAGAGCATAACTACGCCACTTGAAGCTGAAATGGGAAGAAGATTTTTTTTGATGGGTTTTTAATCCTCTGATGGTTTAATTTGGGTTTGTGAAATAGGAAGGAAAGCACAGAATACAAATTAGACCCAGAACATAATCCGTTGAGAAAACGTTTATTCTAGCAATATTTTAGTCGTTTTCATCGCAGTGTATTTTGTTGTTTGTTCTGCGTTTCATTTGTATCCCCCATAGAGGGTTTTGAATGGTTGAGACGGTGTTTAATTGCGGTCTGTGATCACTTTAAATAAAAGTAATTTAATTGAAAAGCACCTGAGTTGAATGACGCGCCACTTTTTGCAAGCGTGCGGCGCATTTCCACGCGGACTCGAAATGACTGCCTGTCACGAGCCGCAGAAGTATCCCGCGAGCCGGGTAAGCGGGGTGTTTCTCACGTGTTTTCTCACGCTCGGCAATTAAACACGGGTATTGCCTAATAAGCACCGTGCAACTGCGTATAAAATTAATGTTTGTTCGATTGCTGTTTTATACTCCTCTTTAGTTTTGTGGCTGTTTCGTGTTTCAATCAATGTGGTTTTGTTCAGATAACGTTCCAGTAGTCATTGGCTTATCGTCACAGTATACCCCCAAATATCTTGAACGCAATTATGTCGCCATCAACTGAGAATATTTCGGTGTTTAAAAGGTGTTTTTTGAGATGTATAGTAGCTGCATAAATTGGGGGTGTTTACAAAATAATCATGGCTTTTATTGTGTTGGGGTGAGGGCGCGCGGGGCCGTATAGGCTACTAGCCATCTGGCATGCTGAGTATTTTCCCGGTGGCCTCACGGCAAAATTTGTAAAAATTTCTTACCTTTGGTATTAATGTGTTGGACCTGTATGGGCAAAACTCCAGGACTGATTTTTAATCCCAGTCCAGCTCTGCTTGTGCACCGATTATTTTGAGGTGCAGGGGCAGTTCTGGGCAGTGCCCCGTGCCAACATGCGTGGCCCTCCTAAATAAAACTTGGGTTTTTAATATTATTGCTATTATTTACATTTATATATGTGGCCTAAAATTTTGTGTGCTGGGAACAGGCCAAACACAAACGTAAGCACCTTTACTTGACAGACCCTTCACACGGGTGCGCCGGGTTGTCAAGTCGCTTTAGTTATTGAAAATCGAAATTAATGACAGAAAAAGTCAGTCTGCAAAAGAAGGCAGTGCGTTACATATTTGTAAACAATGTAAAATGTGACTGCAAAGTATTGCATAAATAACATTGGTTTTCAAAATTGTCTTTTGCTTCTTAATGCTGGCAATCTAGTGTAATTCTTGGAGGACATTAAGGTCAACTGTATTCCCCCCCCCACGAAAAGAACAACTGTCCCCAGTCTGCCCCCCTCGTTGTAATGGCCTATAACCTCCTCTGTTGATATGGGTGTGACCTCAAACCTTACCGGAGTATTCCTGATTTCCTAATAGACATACGAGCAGCAGTATAATGTAATCTTTGTTAGTTCACTTACATTATGAATTATTAATCAGTTTAATAACCAATTTCCTTTGTTTTTTGTCATTTGTTTTCCCTGTATTTATTTGTAGGAGGGTATCAATGTTCTGCTTGTTGGTGACTCAGACAGTGTTACTGAGACATCTCACCTCCTTTGGGAGACCTTACCAAGCTTTGGAGAGGTTGGGCTCATGCAGAGTGTTTCCCTGAGCGATGCCCCTTTCGTGGACCTTGCGGCTTTCCAGCTATACTTATTTCACCTCCCTTCTTCCAATGCTTTGGCTGAGCTTGGAGCCCTGCTCAGCATTAGGTGAGAGGGTTTCTGAGCTTTGCAGATACTGGTTTGGATTTCTGTAGCTGTGGGTCATGGTGGTTTTTGTTATAGGTAAGAGATCGTTTTATAAAATGCTGAAAAGTTGATTACAAGTTAGTTGTTCCACTAGAGGTGAACTTCTGATTTTGCTGAATACCTCAGTAGAGCTGCTGCAGCCTTTCTCATGGTCACTTGGTTTCACAGCAGTTCAAAGGCCGTGGGTGACCAAGGTTTAGATTTGGACTCTGGCTTTACAAGACAGACATCGAAATGCAAACGCTGAGCGAGGTGGTCTGTCCTTATTCATAAGCTGTTTTCATAATTGATTGTCCACAGGGAGAAACAGAGATCTGACAAAACTGTTTGCATCCTTATCATCCCAGAGCTTGGATCAGGTATGTGAAAACAGTTGCGTTAGGTTTCATGCATAGGACGACTGTCTGAATCCCAGTGTCTGTCATTCTTGAGACATCCAAGTCGGGGCTGCTGATTTTGTCCTGACCCAGCCAGTAACCGTGGAGAAGATGGAGAAGGTCCTAAGAGGCTGTCGGCTTGTCACCGAGAGGGGTCTGGAACTTTAACACAGTTCACCAGGAAATTATTTTCCTGAATACATTTATGAGGTAGAGCGTGGATTTGTATCTGCAGACAGAAGCCGCCCCATCTCTTCACAGGTCAGAGTGACAGTAGATGCTCCATGACTGGGTTGCTGGAGCCGAGCAGACAGGAACGCCCAGGACCGCGCAGAGGGGAAGGTGCTTCTGAGCACGAAAGGTCTCTATCTGTGGCCTACGGAGATGATTGCTTAATTATTAATTCATGGTGTAATGGTTCTGAAAGACCGAAATTACGCTACAAACATTCACTATCCAGAACCATGACACCCACCCCCCGCTCCCCCAGCCCCAGCCTGCTGGCTCCGCTGAAGGTGCATCTTATTGAGCTCACGTTGCATTGCTAATGTTAGAAAACACATTTTTCACTTCACAACTAACACTATAACACATGTATATCATAAAATTATCCTGTTTAAAGTTAAGGCAAGCTGTATATGTTGTAAATATTACACATTACACCTATTTTGTCTTCTAACTGTGTGTGTCATGTGACTGTTTTGGTCCAATCATAATTGAGTGACGACACCCGCTATAAAAGCTAAGCTAGCCTCATTAGCGCAAGATGGACAATAACCCTCTTTAGTGTTCCAGAAAAATTTAAGTTTTTTCTTATCCCAAAAAAAAAAATCGTGCTATGAACTGAACCAGGGATCTGGAGAATCTTTACATGCCTATTTTTAACATCAGCTGATAGCTTGTGGTGCCTAATCAACCCTGGGTGCTTATTTTTGAAGGCGCTGCTATAAATTTTACTTCTTCAAATTAAGCAGGTACTCAAACTGGGAAATTGGGGGGGTTGGTGGCAGGATTGGCACTCCACCCACTGGAAAAAACTTGCACTGGTCCATTCGGGCAAGTGTGGTGCTGAGGTATCACCAGCTGCACGGCTGCACTCAGGTTCTCATCCCTGTGGTGGTTTGTCGTGTGGTGGGTGTGGCAACGCGCGGTAATCAGCACGCATCCCTTACCTCCTACGTCTTAGTACTATGACCTTTAGAAAGACTGCGGTGCTGTCAAAGAGCCCTTCGAGTCCAGCATCATAAACATTTTCTCCCTTTTAAATGCTGAGTGCTGTTCAGAATCATAGCCCTGTGTCCTCTTCTGTTCAAAACACAGTTTTGGTGTGGAGAGGGAAGTGATAAATTAGGTTGGTTAAGAAGTTAATACATCAATATCAATTAGTTAATAATCTACCAAATAAATAAAAAGGTCGCTTACCGTTGTGTGCGCTGTTTTGCATTTAATTCAACATGCTGCCAGCATCACATTGGTGTAGATGTGTTACAGTTGCATTTAATGGCCGGTTCCTGCTTTCTCTTTTTGAGCTCTGAGGGTGACGATGGAGGGGTGCCCTGGAGGTGTGACTCCTCCCCAGTTATTGAAAGCAACATGCATGCGCTGCTGCACTCCCAGAAGGAGCAAAGGAGGAGGTGAGGAGACCGAACATTAATCACGCAGACATGCACATTTATTAAGATGTATGTGAGTTGATTATCCTTTCTACATCCCATTCACACCTGCCATACTCCACCCGCAGATTTCAGAAATCATTGAGGATCTCATGTTGGATTTAAGCTCTAGTTGTTGCAAATGTAGTGGAATATAACCGCCGTGCTTTAACTATCTGTTGTTGTCATGATAGGCTTCAGTTCAAAAAGTGCTGCATTCGTCTCCGGGAGTTGCTGCCGTTCATCGGCCAGCGGCTGGACATCGCCTCCATCCTGGAACTGACGGTCTCCTACGTGGGCTATTTGCAGCAGCGGCTGCCAGCAGACTTTTTGCAAAAGGTCGCCCAATGTCATATATGCGCTTTCTTGGGGATTATTGTAGAATTACTACCAGTGTTCGTTTATACATGAAAGTCATGATTATCCAGAGGTCCGTATGTCAGAATCTGTCAGTTTGCATGATGGTTGATAATTTGTCAATTGGAAAAAGCCGCAGTAGTATGTTGGCTTTTTTTGGACAGTTTTATGGGGTGTATAGATGAGAAACAATTCAAACATTTTTGAATTTCAGGTGGTCAAAGCTCTTGAGGAGACCAAGCCAAGTACCTGGCATAAGTCCACCAAAGCTCCCAGAAAAAGGTAAGGAAGAAGTAGAACTTCCTTGACAAAGATGTGGTGGGGTGGGGTGGGGTTAGTAATGGCCTTTTAAAAACCAGGAATCGTGGTTATAAATTCAGTCAGCGGAGGATCCTGGGGAGGGGGCCACCATAGGACCCTGCGTCTGATGTGGGCGGTGCTCACCGAGCTAGACGTTGGTCACATTTCATATGATACTTTTGTTATACAGAATTTGTATTTGTTTCTCTAGAATTCAAAAGCAAAGGTAAAGTGTCTGTACAGCATCCATCACTTTGGGTCTTTTATCCTAGGAGCCCAGAGCCCCTCCTTGGCAGAACAGTGATGGGGGGCACTGTAGTGGGATGGCAGCTTGTGCATTGCAGGGCACAAACACGCATCAAACAGGGGGCTCCGATTTCCTCCCACAGTCCAAAAGTGTACACGATAGGTTAACTGGCAACTCTGTTGGCGCCGTAACTGTGAGTGTGTGCCCTGCGGTATGTTGGCACCTGCCCAGGGTTGGTTCCTGCCTGCGCACGTTGTTCCCGGGATAGTCTCCGGGCCCCCCCGCGACTCCAGCTGGGATTAAGTGGTTACAGTGATGAATAGATGGATGGATGGACGAACTTCCTGTTGATGCAGTCTGACTTTGCCATTTTAGTTCTTTTAAATTGTTTATGATAGCAATCTTGTTAAACAAGACAGACATTCCTTTTAAGGGCATACAGTATTCATGTGACCAATACATTGTCCTTGGTGTGAGATTTGTTTAAATGCCTGATACTCTTATTGACTTCACAGAAAACATCCACTGAAAGAGAAATCCACAGTCAAACTGACTTCAGCTGATGAAGATTTTGCAGACGGTATTGATCCGCTTGTCGTTTGTTTGAACCAAGAGCTGCCTTGCAGCTTGACTGCCAGACACGTGACGGTTTGTGAAAGCTGTGGTCGTCTTTGTAGATTTCATCGCAGCCCACGTTTTGGGAAGGCACATCCGGCCCAGGACCGAGACGAGTCTGGCCCCCTGCCCTGTGATGCCTCGCCAGCTGTTCATCCCGCCTCTAGATCCAAATCCTACCTCTGCCCATGGCATCATGTGGCAGCCCACCTGTCCTCCATTCAGTAACCCCATGCTGATGGCTGAGGCCTGTGACCCACCAGAGTATATATATCAGCCACCTTCCATCTTCCTACCGGGGACCATAAATCCAACATTTGCCCCCCAACTAAGTCTCGACCCAAACTCCTCCCACTCAGGAATGTTAAACCAGTTTGCTAGCCTGCCAGCCGTATTAGATCAGAACTCTTCCCCACTGTCTAGGCTAGACCCAGCTTGTCCTTCCTGTCCTTCGCTCATGATGAATAAGAGCTTCACGGTTACGGCCGCCCCGGATGAGCTGTCCAACCCCACAGCGGTCGTTACCCAGCCATCCCCTCTGTTGGCAGCCCCTGAAAGTACCGCAGAGACCAGCTCCTTTGCACCAGCTACCTCCTGGATGGATCTCCTAACATCACAGTTGGTCCATGAACCTTCCAGCCATGTTCTGCCAAGCTTCAGCCCTTTATTTGGACTCAGCAATGCACCCCCCCCACTTCAGAACCCCAACCCTGGGTTCCAGCTCTCTCCCTCCTTGATTTCTAGCCAGGACCAGTGGACTTCTAGTGAGAGCCCACACTGTTCTGCCATGGCCCACCCTCCACGATGTTTTTCCCAGGATTCAGTGCTTCTTGACTCGGCTCATGGTCTTCAGGCACAGAGTCTAACCAGCCGCCCAGGCATGGCTCACACGTCAGTAGAAATCCCCAGAATGGAATCGCACAGTGAGCATCACACGTCAGAGCGCTATGAAACCGGCTTGATTGATGCAAACATATATACAGATAAAGACCTCACCTCAGTCTTCGAAGAACTAGTGCCAGCTTCTTTCGACAGCTATTGAAATGGCAGGTCTCTTTGTGACTTGGATCTAAACCCTATGTCCTGCATAATTTTTATGTTTTTTTTTTTTTATTCACCAGTTAAGCTTAGACATCTAAGCAGTAAGTGGGTTAGCTTTTTGTTTGTTTTCAGGACAGAATTGAAGTGAGGGAGCCATGTACAAAAGCTGTAGATCTATATGCTACATTTGTTTTCCCATTTACCATTGTTGCTTTAAAGCTATTTGCCAAAAATAAATGTGGGTAAAGTAGCCATAAATGTTTGTATGTTATGGTTTATTTCTACATTTTTAAAGCACTTTTAGCTCACATTTGATAAACTTCAACATATTTTCTTTATATATATATCAAAATATAAAATCTGTTTAATATATAATACACAACACATTGCTGCAACAGTATAAGATTGGAAGTAGTGTGTGTGTGTGTGTGTGTGTGTGTATTGTTGGCAGGAGGTTGAGCACCCTAAAAAAATATGTAATATCCAACCACGATGAAAAATGCTTAAATGTAGCATTTTTGGGACACTGTAATCCTTTATCCCTGCTGAGAGCACTAGAAATATCGGATTTTTGTGGTCATAAGGAAGCAGGCCTGCATATTTTCCTTTATTTATGAATTATTCACGTGTCTATCCATTACATATAGAAGCAGCTCACGAGCCCAAACACCCATCTGACTGCAGAGCACATCTCTCTAAGATGATAATTGGCGCGCGAGATGGACATTACCATGCTTCCTATTAGACTGACCATCCTACCTAACTAATTAACATTCCATGCGCTCTAATCATAAATTTCAATCTTCATTCGTGCTACGTTGACAATTATTCTGCTATAGTTACAGAAACTCCAGGTTCTGGGCTGTTTGTTACCTTATTTTCAACTTGCGGTCTCTGAACTCTGTTTCCCAGCTGTTTGTCATGCACAGTACAGTGCTGTTCTATGCCAAATAAAGTATTAGAACTCAAACTGTCAAATGTTAATTGCTTAGATATTTATCGCACTTTATTAGTTGTGACATGAAACACTCATTACAGCAGAGAAGGCAGCGCTCAGACGCAGGAGGAATTCATGGATGAAATACACCTGGATCAAATGCACGGTTTTTTTCTTGTTAAGCACTAAACAAATAAGGACATTGGAAAGATTTTAGGCCAGTTTAAATAACGGTAATTGCCTTAAGGTTAATTTTAATATAATGTAAGATATGGGATACTCGACTCTGAAAATAAGGTAAATCACTGGGATCAGACAGCTTTTTTCCCTTCTTCTAACCGAACGTGAAACATCAGCCAAACACATGGTGGTGCTAATACATCCTTTGTAGTCACCTCAACTACTTGTCCGCTCTGCATAATAGCGATCTTTAGAAATAATAATTCATACTTGAGTCAAAAACCGTTAAGCCACGTGTACCAACATATAGTCAGTGTTACCATGTTTGTCCTCGGAGTTCCCAGGTTTACACCGCAGTATATTGCCGCATAGACAGAACGCTACTCCCAAAGGGTGGGAAAGTAGGCTGGCATGCAGTTGCCTTTTTCTGGGAGCTGCAGTTCAGATATAACCGCCCAGCGCAATTAGTGCGTGAAATGTTTTGTTACAATGGGGAAATACGAAAAATACCATTTGAAGTTTTAAATATTTTTTCAAATATTCTGCTGGGGCACTATAATGAGGACGGCATGGCGCTCGAGATGAACCTGTACGCTTCCCCGTCAACCTGGTTTTATTATTCAGTGCGACCTCAAGTATGTGTATGCATGCACTGTATAACAAGCAGCTTTTAATCTCCACGATGTGTGCCTTCTTTTGTCTGTCTGTGTGGATTTGACAGCTGTCTTTCTCCGTCCATCCTGTCACCCTTACGTGATATTGGGTGCCTGTCGGGCAAGACGAGGGGCGTGGGAGCATAGCTGCATTTAAATGAGGGAAGGGCCAATGCAAATGACTGCAATGGCATGACAGAGGAAGAAACCGACTAGAGCCCAGCCCCAGACGTCCCCCGTCCCTCCCGCAGACGGAGAGTCAGGCACAGGGCGACAAAGAGAGGCGGCCGTCTGCGTCCCAGCTCCCCTCGCACGACATTCCCACTAAAGCAGGTAAGTAGCCGATTAAGGCTGCTGTCCTGGAATAATTCATCACCCCGAGCTGCAGGATCGATCGGTATTTGCTCTTCGAATTAAGGTAAACGATCATAACCTTTAATTTTTATGGAATGAAGTGTATACTGATGTGTATTTTCTTTCTGGGGAATATATTTTTCATTTATTTGTTTCCGTCTCTTAGTCGGCTGAGATGCTTGATGATAGGATTGTATCAGTAGTGGATGAAGGCTACTCCCCTCGCTATCCCAACATCCTACTTGTCAATATAAGTTATCGAGATTCCAGAATTATTTTAATAATTTTATTATTATTATTATTATTATAATAAACATTTTAAAATTTAATAGCACATAAAGTTCAGTTGCACTTTATAGATAGGGCATTAATAACACATCTTTCCATAATTTTAATCGAACACACGTCCATATATGTATACTGTATTATAGGCTAATAATTATAAGTATTGTTCACGCGTTAAATGTCACAGCCCATGTTCCTAACACATGGCTTGCTTTCATGATACAAAAGCTTGACATTGTACGTTATGAATTTAAATAAATTCTATATGCAGTATATAGTATATTCATGCAATTGCTTTTTAGAATGACAGCATAGTTTTGATTTTTCCAGGATCATATCGATAAATCAGTGTAAACTAAGTTTGCCTGCATACAGTAGCTTCTCTTCTTCTTGGCCATGGCGGATGAATGCAGATTGTCTCCGGATATTGAATGGTGTGGAGAATTAGATCCACAGATGCTCTTATAATAATGCGGAAAAATGAACAAATGGTTTGCGTTTGCTCGTCTTTAGTGTCTCATACCGGCGTGGGGTGAAAGATGGAGCTGGAGCATTTTGATGAGCGGGACAAAGCGCAGAGATACAACCGTAGAGGCTCCCGGGCCAACGGGCTGCCAAGTCCCACTCACAGCGCCCACTGCAGCCTGTACCGGACCCGCACACTGCAGGCGCTCAGCTCCGAGAAGAAGGCGAAGAAAGTGCGCTTCTACCGCAACGGAGATCGCTACTTCAAGGGGATCGTGTACGCCATCTCGACGGAGCGGTTCCGCTCTTTCGAGGCTCTGCTGGCTGACCTCACCCGGTCCCTGTCCGACAATGTCAACTTGCCGCAGGGGGTCCGCACTATCTACAGCATCGATGGGAGCAGCAAGATGTCCAGCATGGACCAGCTGGTGGAAGGTAAACTGTGATAATGATCTTAAAATAACTGAGACATCAGACGCATTTTGCAAGGTTTACGACAAGAAATCATTCAAAATTACGAGCTGTAATCTTATTGAATTTTTTCTGAACTGAAAACATACGTCACTGTAGCTATACGCTGTGACTATTACAAATTCTCTAATTATTCCAATATGCAAAGCCTAAAATAACTGAGATTATGAATCTTAACTGGGGATGCATGGTGTATCAGCGGATAGCAGTACCGTCTCACCCGCCGGGTTTGGGTTTTGAATCCTGCTTTTGTCCTGTTTCTGAGTTTTCATCCTCTGCCACTGTTTTGCCTGTGTTCAAAGACATACAGTTAGGTTAATTAGTCCCTAGCATATGAATGTGCGAGTGTATGCGCCCTGTAATGGACTGTGCACCCCAGCTTTGTGCCCAAAGCTCCCTGAAAACGGTCTCTGCTAGATCAGGTAGTTTTGCTGGAATATTTACCCAACATGTGTCTGGCTGGTTTAACAGCTGGGAGAAATTAAATGTGTAGGTTAGTTATTGATTTATGTAACTATATATATGGATATATATCTCGTCTGCGGAAAAATCCTCAAAAGCAGTTAATCTGATTTTTGGCGAAATGACTGTGGGACTGAATGGCAGCCTTCTGTGGTTTTTCTGTGGGTCCTACAGTTTCTGGACACTGGTGGTTTGATATGGCTGAATTGCCCGTTGTGTGTGGCTGTGTGCCCTTTGCCCACCTGGCAGCCTTTGGGGATGCCCCCTGCCCCGGACCGTGTGTGTCCTGGGACAGGCTCCAGGCTCACCATAACCCAGCACTGAGTATGGGGAAAGATGGATGGATGGATGGATGGATTATCCTGTCTGCTTGCCTCCCACCCACACTTGCTATACTCTCATCTCTAAATGCCGGGACCTTTCACTGTCACATCACTCCTCAGATGGATCCATGTCCCATTTGCAGAAAGGTGATGGGGGGCTTTGTTTGGAACGATGTCCCCACGCCTGTGCCGTTCAGCCTGGCCAAGGCACAGCGAGTGCGGCACCACCCCGTCTGTCAGAATGACGCTGCCAGCCTGTGACCCAAGCCTGAATCAACAGCCCTTTCACTGAAGAGCTCATCTCCTAAAGGGCTTAGATGTTCATTATATGCATTCAGTCAAATAACTGATAGATTTTGCTCCTCTATTTTGGGAACATGGTGGCTCAGGGGTTTAGCTCCGTCACATTACACCTCCAGGTTGGGCATCCAAATCCCCCTTTGGCTGTGTGTGTGTGTGTGGATTAGATTTATATATTACTTTGTGGGGACCATTTTTCGGGTCCCCACAAAGATCTGTGAATGCAATTGAAAAAGTAAAAAGCCAAAAGTCTCGTATTTTGTTTGGTTACTTATGGTTAGGATTCGGGCTGGTTTGGGGTTAAGGTCATCATGTTGGGATTAGAGTTTTCCCCATAGAAATGAATGGAGAGTCCCCACAAAGATATAATTACAAGCCAGAGTGTGTGTGTGTGTGTGTGTGTGTGTGAGTGAGTGAGCGAGTGAATACTGTCCTAGATATTTTTGTGCCCCTCCTGCGATAGGCTAACCATGACCCTCTATTGGATAAGCATAGTGGATGGATGGATGGATGGATGGATGGATGAATTGTTTGCTTGATTTGATACATGGCCACCTGACCTAATGTCACTTTTCTGCACCCTAGTGTAACTTGACACCCTGTGCTGAACGCATATGTTCACAAACCACGGCTTCAGAAGAAGTCAGTTAAATATTGACCATTTCATTGTTATAAAGGCAAAATTAAACTATATACTTTGCAGCCTCCTGTGCTGTGTCTCTCTGAGATCTGGCAGCTACAGCAATCTTACCTCATTCATTTTACTTCTTCTATGGTTCAATATAAAGTAATCATTGAAGAAATACATGTACCTTGACAGATTTGCCATCTGTTTAACTATATAATCATCTTGTCTGTTCTGAAAACCCTCCGCCTAGTAACCAATATTGTTATTATTGTCCCTGAAAATGTCACAGGAATTTAATAAAGGTAGGGCAATCAATGGACTTGCCACGTTCAAACAGTTTGCATTGTGTATATGGGCTACCGCACAAACCTATCCCCGGTCAGCTATCCCCACATGTAAGCTATCATCAGCACAGATCCTTTTACGTTTCGCGATGGAGTTTCTGAAGGAATCTGATGAATATGCGCACTGACTGTACACACAGTCACTGGTGTGAAACTGATAACAGACTCTTTGGATCAATGAGAGTTAGCATCCAGTCGGTGATGTCAGCATTGAGGCATGACTGTGAAATATGATGTCCTTGTGTAGCAGGACTGACCCTGTAAATATGCCTTTTGGGCTCGGCTGTTGTGCTGTTTTTGAAACGCTCGAGGGCTGTAAAGTGAACCTGTCGTGTGATGTACAGTTTGTCTGTTTCTCATTCTGACAGTCACAGTCAGAGATTACAAGAGTTTAATTAAGCCTCACTCTTTCTGAAAAGGCTAATTTCAGAAATTTCAGTTTCAGTTTTGGGCAAGGCTAATTATGCTACCTCCCGGACAACAGTAATGCATTTCCAGAGATGCTGTATCATGAGATTGCCAAGATCAAAGGTGGGCAGTGCTTTGGCTTAGACCCCTTTTAGGCAATGGCTGCAGGCGGTTGCAGATCTGTTCCCTTAGGACAGTGTTTCCCAATCCTGTCCTCGGGGACCCACAGACTGTCCACATTTTTGCTCCCCCCAGAGAGCTGGGAGGGAACAAAAACGTGGACCGTCTACAGTTCCCCAAGGACCAGGCTGGGTCATAAACAGGAAACAGAAGTGGAGATTTCTTCAGATGCATAGTCATGGGTCTCCTTATATCTCTGCATCCTGTAGGCGAGAGTTATGTGTGCGGCTCTATTGAGCCCTACAAGAAGTTGGAGTACACCAAGAATGTCAACCCCAACTGGTCAGTCAACGTGAAGACTTCCGCCTCAGTCCGCACGCCCACCTCCCTGGCCAACGCCAAGGCTGGATCCACCGAGATGCGGGAGGGCAAGGACTTCATCCGGCCCAAGCTGGTGACCATCATCCGTAGTGGGGTCAAACCACGCAAGGCAGTGCGCATTCTGCTCAACAAGAAGACCGCCCACTCCTTCGAGCAGGTCCTCAGTGACATCACCGATGCCATCAAGCTGGACTCTGGAGTCGTCAAGAGACTCTACACTGTGGATGGCAAGCAGGTAATTTCTTCAGCTGCCTCCTTTCTGTTTTCCCCTCTAAGTTTTGCTTTTTCTTTAATTTCACGCTATGGATCCTCATTAAGAAAGATTCTCATAACTTACTGGCTGGGAATTTCACTTGACTTGTTTAAAATTCAATGCGAATATTATTGGTTTGTTTAAATTTATATTTCTGTAATATTGAAAGGGAATTCCTTACAAAAATGACATTAAGTTAATCTCACTGATCACTAGGTGATGAGTCTAAAGAAAACTGCATTTCTTGCATGATGGGATCTTCCCTTTTCAGTAAGGAAGGAAATGGAAAGGACAGCAAATCTATTATTAATCTGAGCAGTTTTATTTCTTTAACGGGGCCCCTGCCAAGCATTTCTGATTTGTTTATTGTAACAGAGCATCATAAAGCTCTTAACATTTTGTTTCTCCATTACAATACAGATGGTCCTCTACTTACGAACTTTCAACTTGAGAACTTTCAGACAGGACTGTAAGTCCAAATTGTGTTCATTGGGCTCCCGTTTCCTGGCCACAACATCAATTTTTTTTTCTGCGAGTAAATTCCGCCTAGTACGACTTCTGCCCGCTACTCCCGCCGTGCGTACTCCCAGTATTCTAGTTCATTGTACTTGCGTATACCCTTAAAATGATGTCGAATAACGACTTACGAACATTTCAAGTTACGAACAGCCATTCAGAACGTATGTCTTTTGTAAGTAGAGGAGCGTCTGTATTTTTATTTAAAAAATGGACACTCCAATGTTTTTTTTTTTTCTCTTTTTACCGTGAATCATTGGTGCTTGGAAAAAACAGAGTGATGCTGATTGTGGTGAATAAAAGGAAATAAGCGTTCCGGGAAGAAAACACGTAAAATCTATTACTTATAAAATAAGCTATGCATTATGTTGGATCCTAATGCAGTAAATGTGATGTATGCCATATTTTTGGATGTTATTGATTTTTTGAGGAATTTGGCGTAGAGAAGCGTTTTCTTAGCCTGGTTACTCTACAGCTTTAGGCTTCTGCCTGATGGTGGAGAGGATGGGTTACGCCAAAGCAATAAGCTTTGGCTTTGAAATCCACTTTAGAAGAAAATAGACATTGGTTTAATCAGCGTCATAAGTGTGCTATATAATCACTGGGGAACACCATTCTTACCGTCTATCTAACACCTTTTTCTTACTTATGAAAAAAGATGGATTTGGATTTGCACTTGTGCCAAAAAAAGATCATCTGTTCAACATAAAGCCAGCTGTTGTTATCGTCTGCGGAGTATGTTTGCGGGCTGACTGTGGGCATGTTACATGGTGTGTCAGAGCGTAACTGCATTGTGTAGCTGCACTGTAAGAGCAGTGACTCAGGCGTTCTGTGACTGTAGCGAAAGTCTGGGACTCTCGCTGAGATTAAGGCTGTTACTAGCGAGCTTTTTCTCACATTCGATACCATGGTTTTGCTTCCATATGAACTGCCTTTGAAGTCAGCATAGGACTCTTAAAAATATCCATGGATCTGTCCATCCATATAACTAAATGTCATCCTGGATTATATCCCAGAAAGCACCAGGAACAAGGCAGGGCAAACACCTTGGGATGCTGATGCACAACATACGTATAATAATCATTTAAATGGTTTAAAACAATGAATAGATGGATGATATGAATAGTTATACACATCAAGGTTGTCCTCTCTGAGTTCCCGGTTCTTCATCTGGCTTCTGTTCTTCACATTCTGATCCCTGAGTCCCCTGGCTGGTGTTCTAGGCACTGACCACTCCTGTGCATTAATTAGGATCATTCTTTGTTCTGCATGCACCTCCTCTCCCTGGATACTCCTGGCTCCCCCTTGTGGCCCCTCCTAGCCAAAGGCAGGGATTGCTTATGGGCTTTTGATCACACTGCCGTCGCCCCCGCCTTGCCCTCCACCTGACAGAGTAACCACAGCTAATGAGATACATCCAGGCCTGTTTTTTTTTTCCTTGCCCGGATCTGGGACACCCTGGCGAGCCTGGCTCAGTCTGACCCAGAAAAAACAGCCACTCCGAGGTGGGGAGTCAGCACCCGCACTGCAGTTCTGGATCCTGCACAGCCCCTGGCAGGCGGGGCGGCAGTGTGAGCTCTGCTCGGTTACTCACCTCCATCTCACGACCTTGAAGCGACCCGTCCAGCGCCAGCTGTTTTCCCCAGGTGCTTCTGAACTTCAAGCAGCCACACGCTTGCTGGTTGATTCTCGTTTAGACGCTTGCAGCTTTGCAGAACAAATCAGCTACACAATCCCTGAGTGTCTCAGCAGATTTTCTGATACCTTGCAGGACGTCTGCTGTGAGATACTGTATGGATGACATGATGCTTTGTGAGACAGCCGTAAGCTAGGAGGGGGTTAAGCATTAACAGCTGGCAGATCAGCTCTTGCATTTGGAAGATTTGGGTTTCTGGAGCTCAGCTCACTAATATTTTGTTAACCTAAAAATGACAGTCAGTAGATAAGAATTTGACTCAAGTCAAGACACGTCACAACTGACTTGCAGGATAGACAAGTGATACATGTTAATCAGATTAATTGCACACTTTTCAGAATCTGGCTTTTGTTTCGATAAATACTGGTAGCATGCCTTCTGATAAAAAAGCAGTTTCCAGAAATTACTATGGGAATTCATGTTAATAAATACCTTATGGGAATAAAATATGAATATTTATTGCTATAAATATTCATTACTCAGAGTATGCATGATAATTGGGCTACCGGCTAGTCTTAAAAAACGAAACAATAGAATGTAATATACACTCAGTCGCCACTTTATTCCATTTACTTAGACAGTAACAGGTAGGACCCCTTTTGTCTGTAGAACCACTTCAAAGGTTGATGAGTTGTGTTCTAGAGAAGCCTTCATATTCACCTCTGTCGTACTGAATTGTTATTTTTGCACTTAAGGCCTTCCTGTTAGCTTTAACAAATGTAAAAAAGGTGCTTTCATCCACAGCACTGCCCTGACTAGATGTTTTTTGTTCATTACACCATTTTCTGTAAATTCTGGACGCGGCATGAAATACCTAGGTGGGCGGCTGTTTCTGTTTCTGGAACCACTATGCCTGCCATCGCAATCACAGCACGTTTACAGTCACTAGGTTATGCTGTACTGATCCTCACCCTTACGCTTTAACTGAACCCCATTAGCCTGTCTACCTGCTGTATGTATTTAGAAGCAGCCATATGATTCACTGTTTGTTAGCATTAGCAAGCAGGTGCTCTCATAAAGTGGCCAGTGAGTCTCTGATCATTACTATTTGCTGAGGTCTGCTTCTTGTGTCAGTGTCTCTTCAAGCCACCTCTGTCTCTCCAGCCCTGTTCATTCACGTTAGATAACCGGCATGTATCTATGGGCAAAACCTGCTTATCTGCAGCGTAAGGAGGCTCAGAAGGGAATGCCATGCAGAACCGCCATCGATGAATGGAGCCGTCTGATGCCTGGAAACATGTGAGCCAATGACTGCTTCCACAAGAGAGTGAAAAATAGAAATTCAAAATGCAGGAGTCCTCCTACGACTGTTGACAAGTCATTTTTAAACCTGAGTATAAATACTATTAATAGACCGTCTCCCCTCTCGTGTACGTATGGTATTTTTTGAGAACCGGTGATACATTTTTCCCTCACCCTTTTTTTCCCTTCCATCCTTGTTTCTATGGTGATGAGGTTGCCGGAGCTGGTTGCTTAGGAACAGCCTCTGCAGCAGAGCTTTGCGGTGGTGATGTCACCAAGGCCTGTGCTCAGGCGAAGGAGCAGCTCTAGAGCCAGTTCCATATTAAGGCATTTCAGCTCGGTTCTGGCGTGATTCAGCCATACAAGCCTAGTCCAGTCCATACGTTAGCAGAATCAGTTACTGTATCTTCAATCCATCCATCCATCCATCTTCCTTAATTGCTTGTCCAGTATAGGGTCATACTGAGTCCAGAGCCTTTTATAAGAAACACAGGACACTAGGCAGGTGACACCCCGAATGGGGTGCCAATCCATAACAGTGCACCAAACAGTGTATTTTTGTATGTGTGTAATCAAAGCAATAATTCTATAATGGTTTTCCACCTCAGTTTCTTCTTTCCCTTATAAGATTTTCTCCTTCATTTATATTTGTTGTTTGTCTTAGCCTCTCCCAGGAGGCGCAGGGCCCTGAGCGGGCAGCACCCTGGGCAGGATGTCAGCTTCATTTATTTATTCATCCTGAAAGCTGTCAGTCATCACTCAGCACCACTACTGGTTTGTCCATTAATTCAGCGGAGAGGCTGTCGGCCAATGGCTGGCCTGTGGGGAGAGGCTGTCGGCCAATGGCTGGCCTGTGGGGAGAGGCTGTCAGCCAATGGCTGGCCTGTGGGGGCTCAGTCTGCTGTACCTCTAGACAGTCTGAGCGGTTCCGTGGCTATTGGTGGGCTTTCCCTCAGGCAGAACGCCACCCCATATGCCCTCGACTGCCGGCCGTGCCCGCCGCCAGACACTAACCCTCCGTTTAACACGCCCCGTGAGGAAGCCAAGTGCCCGTGTCTGTTGGCCTAAGAGGTACCGGGGTTAGCATGTGGTTCCGTGGTTCCCTCTTCACAAGCACAGCACTCGGTGTTCCAACTCACTTCCTAACGGGAGAAATCTCAGGCTCTGTTTCAATGTCACATGTCTTGGTTCCCTGAGTCTGATGCCTGGACGGCTGATCTCTGTTTCCACTCTTCAGTACCTCAGTTTCGTACTTGTAGGCTGCAGTTTTGGCTTTCTGGTTACCCTGTCATCTTAAGTTTGTTCCTTTGAGTAGATAGATGTACAATCCACATCCATGCGACTGTCTTCCAGGCGCCAGTCCTGCTCAGGGTTTCTGGGGGATGCTAGAACCCATCCCAAGCAGGAATGAGGATGAGAGAACCTCCTGGACCCTAGACAGGATTCCTGCTACAATCCTCATGTCATTTCATATATTTTTCTGTTTAATTCACCTTAGAAATACAGCACTCAAAATGTTTGGTGCCGT